AATAAATAGTCTAAGCACCCGATTAATTAGGTAAGAACACTCTACACTGTACTGTATTGCTTTGATTTTGAACTGTATTTCTAACAAAATGATTAACCATGAAATCAACCTGATGCTTGCACAATCTTGTTCTGTAACTTGTGTAAAATCTGATGCTCCACTTTAGAAAATTACATTCAGATCATCAACCATCTCTTGTGTTGTGTCTGTTTGTCACTCGCCGAATCCTTGTCCACCCTTTCGGGGACCCTGCTCCCCTCGGACTGAACTGCTCCGGTCTGGGCTGGTCCGTCGCAACATCTGGATTCTTATATGGGTATTAGGGATTGCACAGGAAGCACCTTACCAACTGAGACAATAACCCAGTCCCTCTTCTAAACTTGGGTGTTTTGGATTTTTATCCACTATGTCATCCATAAGCTGGGGAGAGTTGATTCTAAACAAGACTACTCCACTCCAACCACAGACCCTTTCCCCAGTCAGCGAGTCCTCATTGTTGCTACTCACAGTGAGCCTTCCAGGTACTTAGTCATGTCAGCCTGGAGAAACTCAATGATTCTTATCCTCATGCTGTGATCAGGGCTCTTCTGCTCTGCCAGCATGCACTTGACATCATAGGGAAACTCTGGTATAACATAGGACTTGGTCCATTGTAATGCTTTAGTCCTTGCTAGAATATGTTTCACATTTCTTCTGTGAAATAAAAACACAAAGAGTGAAATTCTATTTCAAATTTCTATGCAATTTATTGGCTTTCTACACTCTGGAGACTTAGGACATAAACCACTTTTCTGACACCTAAATATATGAAGACATCAAGCCATCCCCCACCCATCCTCATCTGCAAATCACTCATAGGTTATTAGGTGTCTTCCCTTTGCATGCACATGGAAAAGAGTGTCACAATAGCCTAGGTTTTAGAATAAAGCCTGAGGTTGGAAAGCATGTCAGTCCATGTATCATTTTTTAAAAAATAAATAATTTATTGAGAATGTTGTATATGCATATAAGGTGTTTTGATCAAATCTATGCCCACTCCCTTCCCTCCAACTCCTCCCATATCTCCCCATCACTTTTTTCTGATAACTTCATGTACTCTTTCTTCTTCTTCTTCATTTATTATTTATTTATTTATTTTTATGGGGCTTTTGGATATTCTAACATTCCCCCCTTTGAAGAGGTAACCCTAAAATCTTTAGAGGATTAAATAAAAGAACCCAAATATTTTTGACATTTTTGGCCTTTGGAACAGAGTAGGATGCTATGAGGCCCAAGGACATTGTGAGGTTTAGCCAAGAAATTGGCTATTTTTGTTTGGGGCCTTTTTACCCTAACTGCCTAGCCAATTCCTGCCTCGTGTTCCTATCACACCATCCTCTGAAGAGGTTACCCAAATTGCCAATAGGGAATAGGGACGCAGACCACTTCTATGCTGAACAGGGATGCAGGGTGAGGCAATTGGAGTACCCCTTCTGTGGGTCTATCTAAAAGACTCACAAATTGCATAACTCTTATCTCTAAGGGGAAAAGAAAGTCCTTGAATCCTGAATAGGAGATGTGAAGGAGAAGTAAAGGCAAGAGTAATCAGCATTACAAGTTCTAGACAGGGAACTAGAAAAAAGTCAAACAGGGCAATTTTCAAATGTTCATATGAGAGTCCATTGGAATTTCTTGACAAGGGCTTCCAAAAGCATCCCTCTATTGCATTCCTCCTCATTTTTCTTTTGTCTTCCAGGGATGGAGTCCATATATCTTTTAAAACCAAGACATAATGCATATCTCAAAACTGAACAAAATATTTAATAGAAAATGATAATTTGCAAGTCTGCTGAGCGAATGAAACCTACAGTAAATTAGTATTCAGTTAAGAAAAATCTTATCTACTCTGCTGCTGTTTGTAGTGAAATAGAAGATGCACTTAATTTATTACATTGTTGGCTATTCCAATAAAGAAAGGTTGGTCTCTAAATTAATATAAGAACCAGACATTCTTATCCCATTCATTCAAAAAGTCAAAGAGAGGTGACCAGGAAACCATAACTATAAATCAATCAGTGTCTGCTCAAGACTGAAGGTGTCTGAACAGATTCTGATAATAGCTGGACAAAGTTGCTAAATATAAATTTATTAAAATTAACTGACTGTACACTTGAACTTGGTGAATTTTATGGTATATATGTTGACTTATAGGAATAAGACTATAAAATTAGACTTCTGAACCACGTTAAAACTTTCAATTAGTGGCAGATTTCTATGTGTATATAAAGATGGCTCTAAAGTAAAATTTCGAAGCAACAGTTAATCAGAAGTACAGGGTAGCTGTCAGTTATCTTACCAACAGGGTTGACTCGGATGGAAGTAAAAGAACAGTGGCGAACCAAGTATGAGACAACAGAAACGCCTACTAAACTAGCCTATATAGGTTGTCTTTGATCATGGTTGAGTTCTTAATGGTTCAAACACAATTCAAATGCACTTCCAAAAGTCAGGCATCCTTTAGCATTTTAGGTCATCTTATAACAATACAGGTGCTACAATGAAAGATGGGGAAAAAGACGCAGGAGACGGCAGTTCATCACTTTTTTATGATACAATCCCTTGTCCGTCTCCCCTTTGCCATTCACTGTAGCCATGGTGAAAAATTGTGCTGGCTACAGTAACACACGACTAATTTCATACTGGACTCAATACAGCAACAAGTCTCAGACACAAATCTCTGCTTCAACCCGAGCCATTTTCCAGGGTGTTTCTCTTTCATTTCATTCATCCATTCAAACAATACATATCAGGAGTCCACTGTGTGCCAGCTGCCCTTCCACGGTTCCCATCTCCTTCTACTCTTTCTCCCTTATCCACTGAGACCAAGGGTTATAAAATTTTGTAGGCTGTGTTTGGGCCTTCCCTGAGCTTTAGAAAGGCAATGTAACTACACAAACGTGAAATCTGATTTCAGTACAGCTTAACATCTATCTCTTTTCTCCAGTGAATTTTAACTAGCTAAGACAACTACACAGTCCTTGTAGTCTTTTGAGATTGCTTTCGTTTATTTTACTCCATATCAACAGATAGCTTCAATATTCTTATGTTATTAAATAGGACTTGGTACAGTTTTTGCCTCTGTAGTATCTATTTTCTCTTCATGTTTGTTCTCTTCCATATTAAGATAGGGACTATAAGGCATAAGATTATTCTATCAAATAGCCAGGATATAGCATGACTCATACCAATCTACTGAAGACACACACCACATCATGCTCCAATTAGACAGATTAGGCAAAACCAGAGGCATCAAATTATCATATTTTTTGAATTATTGGTTTTTATTTTATGTATATGAGTGTTTTACCTGCTTTTATGTAAATGCATACACTTCCTTGGTATGCTAGAAGAGGGCATCAGATCCTCTGGAGCTGTAGTTATAAACTATGTGGGTGCTAGGAACCGAGCCCGGGTCCTCTGTAAGACCAACCAGCACTCTTAACCTCTGAGCCAACTCTCCAACTCCAAATTTTCCTCATTTTTATATTAAAAAATATAACATAATTTAGAAGTGAATATAACTCAGAAAACTCCAACTAATACTACTCAAAATGAATATTGCATAAGAAAAGTGACTCTCAAAATTAAAAATACCTTCTAATGTGGAAGCAAATAACTGAAGCTATAACCATTCCCTATCTAAAAAATTATACTTGTATCAAGCTAAAAGATCTGTACAACATGTTATGTTAAAACTAGTCCAAATTCTTTTAGAAAGCTAGAGTTGAGCAGAGCACCAGGTAGTCACCTTAAAACAAGTACAGGGGTGGAAAGGTCTCCCAGACTCACAGGAGACTAATTATTTTTGTACCCACTTCTTAAGTCAGGGCTCTTTGACAAGCTTCTCATCAGAAACAGAAGCTCTCTTATTTCAATCCTGGATGTGTATAAAACCAACCCTGAGCCGGGCGTGGTGGTACATGCTTTTAATTCCATCACTCGGGAGGCAGAGGCAGGTGGGTCTTTGTGAGTTTGAGGCCAGCCTAGTCTACATAGCGAGTTCCAGGACAGCTGGGGCTACAAGGAGACCCTGTCTCAAAAAGACAAAAAAAAACAAAAAAAAAACAGCCCTGGGCTGGGGAGGTGGCTCAGTGGTTAAGAAAACTGGTTGTTCTTGCAGAAGACCCGGGTTCGAATCCCAGCACCCACATGACAGCTAAAAACTGTCCATAACCCCAGTTCCAGGGGATCCAACAGCCTCTTCTGTCCTCACAGGCATTGCACGACATGGGTGCAATTACCTAATGCAGGCAATACACTCATACACACATAATAACAAAATAAAATATTTAAAAAAAAATTTAAACCAACCCCAAAACCTTTAAGCGTTAATGTGACCCCACTTAGAGAGTGTACTTCTAAGTGTTCAGGTTATGCAGTGATAAATATATGTGTAATAAAACTTATAATAAAGCCAGTAAATTGACAAATGACAGAATCATACACTTAAAAATTTTTATTGGCTATTAAATGATAATTGGATGGATTTATGGGATACAAAGTAATACTGTGATACACTATGTAGTGTGGAACTATTGAATCAGTGGGTTAATATAGGCATCATTTCCAATCTTAGCATCAATTTCTCCTGCCTAACCGAAACATTATAACTTTTGATTTTTGCACTACTTTTTAAAAATGATGAGATGAGGGTTCTTATAAAAATGCTCACTCATTTTCCAACTTTGTCTAACTGAAATAAGAATTTAAAAGTCATTCAATTCTCTCAAAGGGCAGAATAATTATGGTTCAGTGGGGTTCACACAGGGTAAGAGTGATGTTCCTATTAAAAATGGGCCCAGCTGAGTATCAGCTTGCTAAGGAAAAATCTGAACAGAAAAAAAAAAGTTTTCGAGCATCTGTAGGGAGCAAAAGAGACCCAGATATTTCTGAGTGCAGGGACTGTTTTTTGTATAGTGCTCATAACACTTTTTAGGAGGGCTGGTGTGCAATGATTTTTGTTGAAAGAATGAGAATCTTAAACAGGTAACTGCAGTTTAAACTTTCATGCCCAGTAATAACATAAACAACAATTCCACTACATTTACCAGCTCCATCATCCCCACAGCAAAAAAAAAAAAAACAAAAACCTTGTTTCTTATTAGTCAGCCCAAAAGGGAAAACCTTAGGTGGGGGGGGTGGGGGGAACACGAATGGACGGACGGACTGACTGATAGATGGGGACATGACAGAAAAAACTATGGCAGGTGGATTTTTTTCAAGGACGAGGGGAGGGGGAGGAAGCCACCTATTATAAAATAGCCCAAATCATTAATAAAATGTTTAAAATAAAGTTCCTTTTGGCTTTCCAAGTGTTTTTCTTAGTAAACATTACTCTGGGAAGATACTAATGTAAAATCTGTCAATCCATATGATCATGTAAATGACAATAGCACTACTTTTTACAAACTATGTAACTCCTTAGCTTAATAGCAGATAATTTTATAGAAAAATAGATACAATGGGATTTTAACTCTTAAAATCCCTATGTTTTACAATAAAGGATAAAAATAAACATACCAAAAAAAAAAAAAAAAAAAAAAGAATGAGAAGAGTAGGTGGAAAGAATTTCTGTGTGAGCAAGGTTCAATTTGTTCTGACAAAGTTTTGGACACTTCAGTGGCTCCTTACTGAATTCACTATCCCAGTGATCC